CCTTTATTTTTTTTTTATGTGGTGCTGAGGATCGAACCCGGGTCCTGCCTGTGCTAGGTGAGCGCTCTACTGCTGAGCCACAATCCCAGCCCCACTCCGTATTTCATTTTTAAGAACAGCACTTCAAGTGTGAAAATCTGTCTTGGTGACCCAAGTGTTCTTCCTATGAGGTAGCCTATTCATCATGTGGCTCCTTAGCTCTTGGTGTGCAAACATGGGGCCATATTGAAGATTGTTGAAGCTGTAGGATGGAACTTTAAATAGGTTTTTGGTCTATATATTGATTTCTCTTTGTCTTCAAACAAGTAGTTAAAAATATATTTGGTTATAAGTGCAAGAAATCAGAGAGGTCATGGGCAGTAATCAGGTTCATGAATAATTGAATATATGTTTACAATATATGAGAGGGTGGAAGTGAGACAATTCACTTGTATCTGAAACATTTTATTTCTTGTTTTCAAAAAAAAGTTTGTAAAAAGGTAGGAAAATATTAAAAACTAAGCTTGTCAAATGTAGGTGATTGGATATATGTGTTTTTTTAAGTCTGTGCTTCTGTGTATTTGAAATTTTTCTTTTAAAAATATTTCTTTTATGTTAGAAAAAAATACACAAGGAGAGTGCCTATTTAAAAAAATTGTCTTGATAATGTGTCTGTATATACTTCTGATTCTCTTCTATATAATCCATATTTCATATATTTATTTTTAAGCCTGTTGTGTATCATGTGGTATTGTACGTTTTTAAGTATTCTCATACTTCCAGTTCATAATCAAATAGAATGAATATTATTGTCCTCATTTTACAGATAGACCAGGTTTAGAAAAATTAAATAACTTTTTAAATGGCTTTTTATGATATTAGGATGAAAACAAAGTTCCATGAATGAATTCTAGTGCTATTTGCCCTGGAACTGTTCCATTGAGAGTAAGACCTACTTATTTAATAAATGGTATAGATGATGTTAGGAATCTCCTGTATATAGTGAAATATATTTTTCTATGAATTTCTAGGAAAAGTGATATATTAGAAAATCATCCTTTCTGGAAAATGATTTTTTTTGGCGGGGGGGGGGAGGGGGAGCGGGGCGGGGCATACTAAGGATTGAACCCAGGGCTTCCTGCGTGCTAAAAAGCACTCTACCACTGAGCAATACCCCCTGCCCTTTTTAAATTTTATTTTGAGACATGGTCTTGCCAAGTTGCCATCCCTGGCCTTTGAGCTTGTGATCCTCCTGCTTCAGCCTCCTGAGTAGTTGGGATTACAGGTGTGCACCACCATTCCCAACTAGAAAATAAAATTAAAAATAAAAAAAATGAAGAGTGTGAAAATTAATTGTTTTAACACACAGCAGTAAGGGTTTCCTAAATAAAACATGGGAAATGTAAGAGTATTATTTTGCGATAGAAGTGAAAACAGAAGAGTGATTGCCCTGAGAAGGGGCTGGCAGGGGACAGCTGTGTCTCCTCATAAATTCTTCTCTACTGTTTGCTTTTTTAACATAGACATGGTTCACATTTTTTAAATCATTCTACTTTTCAATGTGAGTATTTCTGCTTTCATTCCCTGCCAATCCCCACCCCACCAGTATATGGAAAAATAAGTTCAAGGAGATATTCAATTTGGTCTCTAGTTTTGTTTTTAACACTCTAGTCGAGCTTTTGCCTGTGATCACCTAAGAATTTGGGGTTTTGTTTATTTAACTGTTGTTATTTTAAAGAAGACAGGCTTTATTTTTCTCCCAAGGCTTTTGTTCTCAAATTATTTGGTTTGTTTGTATGATCTTTTAGACCTTTCACTTGATTATGCCTCTCAGCCAGCAAATCTTCCTTTTCCTCACATAATGCCGCTTCCCGAAGACATTAAAGGCTCTTGCTTCCAAAGTGGGAATAAACGGAACCATGAACCCTTTATTGCTCCAGAAAGATTTGGAAACAGCAGTATGGGCTTTGGCAGTAACCCTCATTCCCAGGCACCAGAGAAAGTGACCCTTCTTGTAGATGGCACACGTTTTGTTGTGAATCCACAAATTTTCACTGCTCATCCGGATACCATGTTGGGAAGGTAACTGATGATCATTTCCTTCCAGATTCACTCTTCTCTACAAATAGAAATACATGCTATTTATCTTGCATCCAATGTGAAACTAAAAAGCATTGCATTCTTAATTTTGTACATTCTTACCTTTGTGAAAAAGGAGGGCAAGCTGGTACAAAGTTTGTGTGTTGGTGATATGAAAGAGGTGATATAGTTCATTTACAAAACCAGTTCAGGAAGACTGAGGATGGAGCTCATGCTCAGTCTGAGCGCGAACAAGGCCCCCTGAGTTCCGTTCCCAATACTGCCAAAACACACACACACACACACACACACACACACACACACACACACACACACACACACA